GAGAGAATGCAGCTTCAACACATGAAGCTTTGACTTCACTCGGCAGGACTGCAAGTTGCTGCCTGAACTCAATGCCACCTCCGTTAGTTGTTGATACAATAAAAAGCTGAGGATATTGTAAAGATATTGTCTAATGTACCGTAGTGGTAGAACTGGTCTTGAGACTGGAGACCAGTGGAGAAGTACACAGCCTGTGACATGGCAGTAGTGGCCATGATCCTCAGCAGCCTGTTCACCAGCGGGTCCTGTGGGTCCACAGCTTGATCCAGAGAGTCCGCTAGAGCCTTGTTGGTCCTGGAGGAACAGAACCACCCGTTAGAATACGACAGTCAGACAATATTTCTAAGTTCCCTTTTATTCTTCATCTGTGAAAACAAAAGTTTTGGCAAATTTGTTTCTCGTCAGGATCAGGTAGTGTTTGTTGTTGTAATACTCATTTCGGCCACAAGAGGCTGCCGTGCACCACTAAACCGTGGTCTGAAAACGACTCAAAGCATTAATGTCTTTCTACCAGGAGAGGTTTAATTTCTCAGTTTACTCTAAACAAAAGATACATATATTTTGTGTTAAGTTATGTAATGTAACGTCTTTCTTATGGCTGGAACTGGATCTTAATCGGGCGCTGAACTGCCATTAAGGGGAAAATGTATGCTTTCAGTGTTATTTAGAACGTGGGGCAGTGGTGAACTCAGACCGTATAGAGGAAGTGGACGTAGTCATCGTGACGTCACCCATTCGTTCGGCGTTGTTGGCCGTCGCCATCTCGGACTACGGCCGAACAAATCAAGAGAGAAGTAGAGTCATTTTCTCATAGACTTCTATACAACCAGAGGAGTCGCCCCCTGGTGGACACTAGAGAGAATGCAGCTGTAACACATGAAGCATCGGCTTCACTCGGCAGAACCGGAGGTTGCCACCTGAGTGCACTTCAGCCTGTTGTGGCCAAAACGAGTATTACAACAACAAACACTGAGAAATATAATCCTGACCAAAAACAACAAAATGTACCTGGCAGAACATTTCCCCAGCTGTGTCACAGATGAAAAAGGGAACTTAAAAAGATTATTCTGGCAATAATTGTGTTTTCCACCATAAATACAGCAGAGAAAACTATTCAGACTTAGAGAAACGGATCACAGGAATGATCTTTTCTCACTTGCCTCTTCTGCACAACAAACATGTGAAATGAGTGAAGACACACACACAGCTTCATAAAATCAGTCACCCGGTATCGATGGCGAATCCCCAAGCGGCGGCGCTGTCCACCAGCTGGCTGAAGAACTCCTGCCGTGGCGGCGGGTGCCGCCTCAGCAGGGCCTGGTGAGGGAAGGCCTCCTGGATCTTGCGCGCCACCCAGTGGTTGGCGTAGATCATGCACTCGGCCACGGTCTCGTGGACCTCCAGCGGCTGACGGGGGACCAGGGCTGTGATGTTCCTCTCCTCGTCCAGCTGGGCTCGCACCTGAGGAGGGATTTCAAAAATACACTCAGGACTTTTATGTCGTGTAGAAAATAGTCCCCCAACAAATGCACCATTTCCCCTAATTTTGGTTTCCAACACAAACAACACAGGAAATAGTGAAACTCTTATTCCAGTAGGTCAAATAAATAACGGTTATCTTGAACACCATGACAGTATTTCACAAAATAATACCGCCATGTCACTTTATGATGACACCGAGTGTGATGCAGCTCAACCCATCACACGTATCTAAATAAGGTAAAAGAGGTTTTATTAGAGCATCTTATAGACGAACAACAAGAAGAGTTCGTATCTTGTTTTGATGGATGAACCAGTAAATAAAACACACGAGTCTCTGAGCACCGGATTTTAAAACCCGCTGCAGACCAGTTCAGTTCTCACAACACACTGGGAGGAAACATGTCTTCATGGAGCTGGTTCTGTGCAGAGCGGCAATGTAATGTAATGTAATGTACCACTACATCTGGAAACAAGACATTATCTGGACAGTTTATGGTCAGTGGGAGGTATGAGCAGCTTTTATATCGTGTTTCTGTGTGAAGCATGTTTTACTTTCTTTTCTTAGGTTCAGAAACCAAGTGATACAACAGAGTATTAAAGCCGTTATAAGTGAAATGATCGATCCTACGGAGCCGGGGACGGAGGTGGGGTTGTACTCAGACTCAGTACTCAGAGATGAAGACAGAAATTTAGGAGAAAAACAACTTAAATTTTCTCTGAGATGAAAGTGATTCATCGAAGGAACCACGTCGTTACAGCGACATCATGCACAGCGTATCTGCAGCAGTTTAGTGTTTGTCTTTAGAACTTGAGTCGACTGAAGTCTTTATTTATACACGGTATTAAAGATCACGTGGAACGGACACGAACAAGAAAACATTTACTCATTTACTGGAAATCATCACAGTGGACTATTAACAATACGTTACTTCATGAAAGAATGAAAGCAGTTATTACAAAGTATTAAACCAGCTTGACAAAGATGAATCCTTTATTTTGAATAAGGAAGGACAGAGGAAGCACTCCTACCTCCACCCCTTCCAGCTCCAGCGCTCCTCCTCTGTCCCTCTGTGCCCGGAGGTGTCTGGCTACACGAGTCAGCGTCTCCAGACTCCGGGTGAGCCGAGCCAGCTCGGCGTCCCTCTCCTCGGACCCGAGCCCGTCCAGCTCCGGCACCTCGGCCGGCTCCCCGTCGAGGAGCGCCTGGGCCAGCTCGTAGTGGAGCTGGTAGGAGGAGCGGATCAGCGTGCGACCGTACCACACCTTGTCCACGGCGAGGGTTTGTGCGTCGAGCTCCCACATCACGCTCATCGCGTACCTGGAGAGTGGACACGAGTGCACATCAGTATCACGCTACAAGGTTAGAAGGTTTATATTTGTCGTGGTACGACAGGGTTACACAACGAAATTTAGATTGTAGTCCCAATTTGCTACATAGGAAAGAAAACAAGAAACAACTATATCATATATAAGGGTGGAGGATGAATTCAATTCAGTTCTGGTTTAATCCCCCACTGCAGAGCCCTCCTGTCCTGGGCCCTGAACATGTCATGTTTGGATGTTTTCTATTGCTCCTCTGTTAAACGTTTACAAGAACTTCTTAGGTTTTCTGAGCTTTCTTCACCAGGATGGAGATGTGGAGTGTGAGGACCACGTCAGGTTGTTTGTGATGTCGTTAACTTGCTCCTCCTCAGCTCCAGTGATGCAGACAGATGTGTGCGTCTTCGCCTCCTTTTGTTTTCTAAAATAAACAATCTTACTTTATTTGCTTGTGTGTGTTGAATTTGAGAGCCTCTGTGTTGCATGTCTTGTTAGTACTTGACAATGTTTAAGAGTCTCCTGAATGATGATACTACGTATATTAATATTCTCACTTTTTTCATTATTTGTGCACGCATTGTAAAGCGTCAATATTGTATAACCTTTTAAATGTAATCTTACATTCTGTTTTTAGGTTTATTTTGTAACATCTGCCTCTTGGGACTACAGATGAAAAATAGCCTCTTGGCTAACTCTGGTGCATTTACAGAAATGTTTTTATTAGTGTGCACTGTCCCTTATCAAATAAACTAATAAAATAAAATAAATAAACTAGTGCAATTGTGAACCTATGTTTTGTATTGTGTATTTGTCTTGAATAAAAATATAGTACCACATACATCAAGATAAGAGCCATCATAAGTAGTTCACTCATTTCATCTTCAACAAAGGATATACACATATATTGTCATGCTGTAACAACATTGTGAAAAAGGAAAAATAAATGTGGCAAACGCATTAGGTATCGAAAGATGTCTCTCCCCATCGTGGTTTGCATTGGAGACTGACAAACTGAAAGATCACTGCAGGTAGAACTTAATTGAAAGGTGCTCCTGATTGGTTAGTGACCTAGTCACCCTAGGCATCTATCATTTGATTGGTTGAGGGGCAGATGCCATGAGGCAGCCATGAGCTGATTTATAAATAACCATCTACAAGTCTGGTGAAACTAAAATAACACTTGTAGTACTACAGGAAGGAGCTCATTGATATATGAAGTGATTTTGGTCATGATACACTTATCAACAGTAAAGCTATTGATTATTATTTAATAAATATTCACTAAAATTAATCTAAATCATATTTTTTTCAAAATAGCACTTGTAGTACAACAAGGAGGAGCCCATTGATGTGTGAAGTGATTTTGGTTACACTACATTGCATGACAGTGAAGCCATTGAATATTGTTGTAGGATGTATTTTCCGCATTGCACTTTGTAGACGGTCCCTGCGCACTCGTCTCGCAGCCGGCCGCTCATTGAGACCAATGCAGATTGTCTCGGCCCGTTTTAATTCAATTAAGCTTGTAGCTTGTTGTCTACCTCACTACGGTTACAGGGAGGTATCGTTTGTATTTTAGCAACGTTTCGTTAACGATTTATTGAACCGGGAAGTCCGAATCTGTCAATATCTTTCTAACTTTACCTAACCCAACAACAAGCCAGAATGCCAAAAGGAAAGCACGATCAATCGTGACACATCAGCGCAGATCTGGTTCGTCCGGTTGGGTGATGGAGATGGAGCCGCCTCTCACGTTATCACCGACTGAACGAGCTTCTCTTCCGATCACATTGTGTCAGATATCATGGAGGCCGCTGCGCTCCTGCTGCTGCTGCTGCTCGCGCTGTTGGGGGTTTCTTCCACGCTCGGCTTTTACGGAGACAGCATGACGTTCATGCCTCTGAGGAGGAAGACGGATGGGACATTCAAGGTATTGTGTTGTTTTTTTAATCATCGTCATCATATTTTATTATATGTATATATGTAATTTGTTTTTCAATGTTATCACAACATTGGAAGTTTACCAAAGGTATTAAAAGCAAAACCACAAAAAAAGCAACTCTACTGTAGCATAAAGGATTTATCATTTTTTATTTCATAATCAAGCTTTACTGTTTGAAAAAGCTTCCTGCGTAAACTATGACTAAACAGTCAGAAGAACAAACTTAAAAACATATTTTAGAACCCATGTTCTTAACATCAGAGCGTGGAGGGAGTGCTCCTCGGCTTGTGAAACACCTGCACGTCATTCATACCTCCTGTTGTCATCTAAATATGGAGACACCTACAACCCGCCGAGACGAAAAACTAAAACGAAAGAAGTGCTTTAAAAGTATTCATGGTATGAATGCAGTGCGTGTTTTATTTTGCAGGTGACCTTTCATCGCAGACAGAACGGTAGAAACAAATGTGAGAGTCAGTCATCCCACAGCTGTGAGGACGGGGTGTGCACAAGCTCCACTGAGTCAACTGTCCTGCAAACGGACGAGGACGCCACCGGACAGGGGCGCTGGTGCCAGTCTGAGAGGCGCACAGCAGCGACCATCTTCACCAATAAAACCTCCTTTTCTCTGAGGTAACGTGAACACACATGTCTTCTTCTCTGCAGGCATCAGTGGACGTGTATAGTGCTTCCTCTGTTGTTGTGGCCTGAATGCAGAAGTCGGGAGAAATGTAATAGAGTGTTAGTAAACGAAGCCTCGGTTATAACACCAGGCATGTCTGTAAAGACTTTCAAAGTTCATTATGAAGGCTCAATATTTTTCTTTTTTTATGATTTATATATTTTTTTAAGTTTTCAGAAAATGATTACAACATCAGACATTCGACATGAACCCAAAAAACAATTATGACGACATAACGACATAAACATGTATAGCCGTAAACAAAGGAAATGATTTAGAAATGCTTTAATAAATACATAGAATAAAGCTGAATAACTATAAATAAATGATTGTAAATAAAATGAGATACACAGTAAAAAAATAAAACAAATAATAATAATTGTGTGTGTGTGTGTGTGTGTGCATGTGCATAAGTATATTTATTTAACCCATTTAATTTTGTTCTCCTCAGGGACTCGGGCTGCTGCTGGACGTCCAATGTGGAAGAAAAGACTAACTGGACTTCTCTCGCAGAATTGGACCTGGGAAGTCGATCCGACTCTCACGGCCTCAACGGCTGTCCCGTCACCACAACGGTGTCTTCTCTACGGTACGAACCTTCTCTTTAACTGGGATTAAGACACGAAGCAGAGCTCTGCAGGTAAAGCAGAACACAGGAGGAATGGAAACAAATATTGTGCGACATCACTGTGTGCCGGTACTGGATCTCCAGATTTCAGCGGATCGGGAAGAAGCCTGAGGACCAGTTCTCAACCACATAATACAGAAATATGAACAAACAAATGAAGAAAAAGCTCCTTAATAATAATAATGACAAGAGCTGGAGCTCAAAGTTCAAAAAATAAAAGGTAGACAATAAAAAGAATAGAAGCTCAAATATATTATTACAATTAAAAACAGAGACCAATAAGAATAATAGACATTATGTTTACATCAACACCACCTGGATCAAAAACTCTTTCTTTGTTCAAGCACACTAAATGTAAAGTTGTAAATCACTTTGTTGAAAAGCATCGTCCCCGACAAATAACATGAATTTAAATGTGTGTTATACAAACTACATGACTATGACATCTGAGATGTTGCACATAAGTTACTGCACATTATACAATACGTGCACGAATTGTCGACATGGAATATCAATCTCATTTAGGTTACGTTAGTTTTGTTCCTTAATGTCGTCCAACGTTGTGCCGGCACAAAAGATACTTCAAGCAAAACACATTAGTTTGAAAGTCGTGCTAAGAAAAACACGTTGTCAGTATTTCATAAACTGCTGTAAGACTGTGTCGTTATTTGAGAGAAATAATATTGTGTGCATAGATAAAGACTTAAATCTTTGGAAAATGTGAACAAAAAGAAAACATATTGCGTTTATATTTCTGTTCATACACACACATGTATTTTCATATTTACTCAGTATGTAGCCTGACCTGCTGTCTTATCAGAGACGACTCCCTTCTCTGGGATTTTAAATTAAATTTCATTGTTGTTGAGGATTAGGATTTTAGAGGTCTGAAATGGTGGAAGCGTCCACAAATAAAAAAACATGTTAAAGAGAGAAAAAATTTAGAATTTTCTGTTACATTTCTTTTTTATTTTTACTTTCTCGTCTCATAATTTCGTTAATCTTCAGGTAGAGAACCAGTGGCATAAAGATCAGAATAGGTCACACATGTAAGTGTGAACATTATGCCTTTTGATTTTCTTGCAGTGTGCCTCAGAACTGCTTTTCAAGGTTTCAACTTCTGGCACACGACCCAGACGGAGATCACGTGAGATGCCGCTTTGCTCCAGACGCTTCGGCTCCGGCAAACTTCACTATGGATGAGGTAATGCTTTCCAACAGGGAGGCAGCGACATCATCTTCCTCATATATTTAGCTTTTTATTATGTCTGTTCACAGGCGTCCTAAATTAAGCTCCAAAAATGTGTTCTTCTAACGTCAAACCCGAAGAGACAAAATGATTTCACCATCTTCGTTTGATTCTCCTCCCAGACTGCTTGTGCGCTGACGGCTGCAGGTCAAGTCGCCGTTGGTGTCCACGTGTTTGAGCTGCTGCTGGACGACTTTCCGCGCAAAAACATCACTTTGACCTACGCAGATGGATCATCGGTGCTGAGGGAGGCCTCCGACATGAACGCACCGCCTCTCTGCAGAGTGAAGCTGCAGTTCTCCATGGAGAGTAAGTAGGACGCAGGAACAGTGGATGTCTGACCCTCAAGGAAACCAACTTGACTGGTTTGTGACAGCGAATTATCTTGTTGATAATCTCGTGGGGAAAAGAGTGAAAAAGTGATGATGATTAAGTTGATATTGAGGAGAAGACATAGCATTACATAATGCCTTATTTGCATAAAAAACATAACATTTCAGAACACTTGTAATACAATAAATAATGATCTTAATGTGAGTAATGAAGTGGTGAAGTTTCATGGTGATATCTATGAGTTCATGTTGTGACCCTATTCACCTGTAGAGTCTTCTTAATGTG